CATTGTATATTTGGTTTAATACTGTAGCTACTAGGCATATAGATGGGCTGTCCAATGTCATCTTACTTTCTGATTTAAATTGATAATACACTTCCGTGTATTATGCATTGATTAATAAAATATTTGATTACCTTTAAAAAGGGGGGGAGAGTTGATATGGACCCAACCAAGAATATATCTTGGGAACCCACGAACAAAAATGAACCAACCCAAGAAAGCTAGAAATCATGTCGTGTAAAGATCAACCTGACCCGTCGTTCGACCCATATCAAGAACTGAGATTACGCGCAAGAAATCCGATCCGTTGATTACTCGGAACAAGAACCGTGAAGTGGGAACGCTACCAAAGGATTGCGAAACCTTTTGATAAGTTCAAGTTAGAACTTTAAACCACAGAGAACATGGAGAAATAAAATTTTCAAATTTAATTTTCTCAAATAATCAAAGTCTACTTTACAATGAATAATAATAGATTATATTTATTTGAAACTATGAAAAACCCTAATTTAGCTAGATAATCTCGTGCTTAATTCAAATAGATCACAAAAGATGCTAAACAGATGGTATTTAAGTCAAACTAGGAAACTACGAAAAAAGATAAAATTCTCTCCCATGTTTTATACTAATTTCCGCTAACTTGTTCTCGGCATGTTTCTGTGCGACTACAACCTCAAAAGTACCATGAGCCCGTGTGGCCTTGTGCAGAATTTCGTAACGATTCTGAATTGTACTTGTGGGCGAAAATTCAACACTCGAGCTGAGAGTTATGCCTATTTCAATCAATGTTACTCGTTTTCTTTCCAAATATATTCCAAACTTTGAATCTAACTCGTTTCGACTCCCGAGCCCTTCACGAAACTTGAACCTTGGCTTGTCAACTTCACCCATCTGAACTCCATTACTTGAACCCTTGACTCGTGTGACCCGACCAAGTGAATGTCTGTCCCGGATCATATCAAAAGTGCATTAGAAAATTGCCGTGTATCAAAAATCATGTACTGCACTAGACAATATGCATTATTTTAACTTAATCAAAAAATCGTAATCCTCTCTCCCCGTAACCTCATGGAGAGCTACCCTTCCACATCCAAACCTGCCACCCAACCTACCAACCCAATCGACCCTGACCCAATATCCGGCCTCACGCCACAATACCACGGCCGATCCGGCCAGGGAAGACACGTGCAGGCGACGGCCCTAGGTGCAAACCGTAGCGCCGCCGCTCGGGTTTTGAAACAACAGTGGCTTCTGGCGACCACCTGGCTCCACGCGCCTGATCGGAAGGCTGCGCAAGCCATTCCGACCACGGCCATGAACCTCACGCGCCGACGACTGGCCTTTTGCAGAACCTGCCTGACCTGCACAAGCCATTTCACCCTCCCGTTCAACTGTCGGATGCACCAATACAACGGCATGTAGAATTGTTTGGTACAAAGGAGTTCAATCTTCGATTTAGAATGGAAGCAAAGGAGTTTTTTGTGTCTATTAATGAATCCAGCATTGTGAGGTTGACCGAATGGGGATCGAGGACATCGAATGTAATATATATGGAGAGGTTGGTGCCTTGTGGATGTTGAATATGATGGATAAATTGAGAGGGGCAAGCAAGCAAGAGGAGTTTATTGCCAAGTTTACTGAATCATCGAGAGCTTTTATGGTGCAGCGTTGTGGTAACAGTCGAGGTAGGTATCTGACGATAGCACA